CCGAGACTGTTAGGCGCGCATCTGTGCCCGACGCTGATTGTGAGGCGCGCGCTATACGCGATAACCTGATCCAGTCGCCGACGAGGGCCCACAATTCTCATTCGTGATCGTGTTGTCACTCGCTTTGGCTACATACACTCGCTGCTCGACCCGTACCCATGCATGCAGCTGATTATGGGGCCTTTAATATACGTACTAGCCTATTTCCAAGGGCCATCAACGGCCCTTCGTATCCCTACATGCAATCCTTCTGCCTAGTCCATGCCTAAAAATGCACGATCACCCTTGGCATATTGTGCTTCTACTTATTGTTTACATCAGTACAAACGAAATGTGTTGTCAGTTCAGTTCTCGTTTTCAGGAAGCCACTTTTGCCGAACTGGATTTCTGAGGAAAAAATGTATAAGGAAGTCAAACTTGTAGACACAAGCAGCAATATCAATAAAAAGACAGATAATTAAACAAAGTTATAGTGGCTAACTCATGAAGTGCCAAATAAATCATGTTATGCACGATTCTTGGGTAGTGCTCACGCCAAAGCTGAAGTCGTACTGCTACAGAGGGAAAACTTACCACTTTGACACTTAATCCTTTTGGCAATAATAATGGAGCCACGTGTACATCGATGATTCGATTGCGGGATTCGGCGATCATATTCATTACTGGACACTGCAAGATTAGGCTAAAGAAGGAGGTAAACTAGTCAATCATAAGACCAAGTAGTACAGACTTGAATCACACGTAACATGGGCCACGTGTTTTTGCAAACGTGCGCCCATGGACCCAACCACGGAGGAGATCACGTGAGTCGGCGGGCCATTAGTGCCAAATCTGCTCATCTAGAGCATCAAATAATGACTTCACTTCACTTCGGTTCTGTGATAGCGATTGCATGTGGCTAATAAAACTTTGAGCTCCTCGTCATCATAATTTATTACTATTCAATACTCAAATGCAGTGGGGGTTTCAACAACTAGGTACTCCTCTGCGGAAAAGCGACTAGCTAATGTGATTTCGTATGAAAACCGATTTTTTGTTATTTTTAGCTTCCGGCTGTGCGTATAAAAGCTTCAACATCTTGTGCAAACACATGTTGAAGTTGATCGCCATTTCGAGCTATTCGAAAACTTACTTGACACTTAATCCTTTTGGCAATAATAATGGAGCCACGTGTACATCGATGATTCGATTGCGGGATTCGGCGATCATATTCATTACTGGACACTGCAAGATTAGGCTAAAGAAGGAGGTAAACTAGTCAATCATAAGACCAAGTAGTACAGACTTGAATCACACGTAACATGGGCCACGTGTTTTTGCAAACGTGCGCCCATGGACCCAACCACGGAGGAGATCACGTGAGTCGGCGGGCCATTAGTGCCAAATCTGCTCATCTAGAGCATCAAATAATGACTTCACTTCACTTCGGTTCTGTGATAGCGATTGCATGTGGCTAATAAAACTTTGAGCTCCTCGTCATCATAATTTATTACTATTCAATACTCAAATGCAGTGGGGGTTTCAACAACTAGGTACTCCTCTGCGGAAAAGCGACTAGCTAATGTGATTTTGTATGAAAACCGATTTTTTGTTATTTTTAGCTTCCGGCTGTGCGTATAAAAGCTTCAACATCTTGTGCAAACACATGTTGAAGTTGATCGCCATTTCGAGCTATTCTGAGGCTCGATTCTACTTGTCATATCGGTTTATGAACCATCATCATCCTTCTCCAGCCACTCAGTCAGTCAATCGGGATAGAGCCTTGAAACAAAAACCCCAGTGACATCGATTAGCAGCTATATCTTGCACCAGGACCAACCAATCGTCGACAGCACCCAAAAGTTTCGTAATCTGCTTTATACTCCTCTGCCGGCTCAACGGTTAGCATACGCAGTGCGTGAGTAAACCAACGCAAGATTTTCGCCAATAACATTTTTCAAATAATCTCCGTGGCACAACCAAAAACTCACTTTACGATCGCCCAGTTACGGATTCTCCGTCGCAAAACCACACAAGCTATGACTGAAACGTTGGTTGTCGAACACCCCTCTGTGTTCCGCTGCTCGAACGGACCAAGTCTCATCGCCATACAGAAAACAGCCTGTACTATAGCCCAATACGCACGTCCCTTGAGATTCAGGGATATACCGTTTTGACGCAACAGTTGTATCAAAGCAAACAAAGCCTTGCAAATTCGTGCATCCACCGCAACTGCCCTAATAAAGTCGGTAATAATGCAACTTGCAAAGTGCATGAAAAGCTCCACGAATTCAAATGCCTCTCCGTTGAATGCAAGCGGTTGTTTCAGGGACAATATTTCCAGGATGAAGACCTTACACTATGCGGTTTCAATGCGCATGCCAATGGATGGATAACCTTGATCAGTTCACTCACAAACCTCTGTAAATTCTCCCCTTTAAGCAAGACAATGATATTATGCGCATTAGGAGTTCCGGGCCAAAATAAGCTCGAAGAGCGTTAAAAATACTCAGTGTGTGATAAGGAATTTTTTATTGTGCGCATATTTCAGACCGATAGGGTTTTCGTCAGGGGCTATTTGATAACTTTCCAGCGTTCGTCTCACGAGTTCATCGACCACAAAATTAAATAAGAATGGAGAGGATGGATAACTCTGACGGGCGCTGATTTGTGGGCGGAAGCATTGGGAGACCCAGTGTATACACTGTTAACCTTGCTGATTCTAAGAATGCAAAGAACTTATGTTTACATCCGCTAAATATTTCCGTGCTAAGTGCACCCCTTCCACACCTCCGCTCCTCAACGATGCGAAAGAATCCACGTTGGCACTTCCCTCTTTACAGCATGCCCTTCCTCAAAAACAAAGCAACCCGTTTTGCAAGGCTTCCACGCTTTTCTATGGTTCGTAACTGCGCCATTCTCAGGTCATATCGTACAAACACGCAAAATTACCAGAAATCTCTCGTTCTTCTTTGATCTACTGTCTCTGCACGCTCCGAGGCTTGTTAGTTGCGCAAAATTTAGTCAGTGCATATCCATTATAATCACACACACCCATTTGCATCAACCTGAATATTTTTGCCGTTTTTGAGACCGGACCGTGTTGCCTAACTGGAGTAGTTTAAAATTGTGGCCACTTCTCTCTGTCTGATTTCTGGGCCGCAGTCTAAGTCATGCCACAGTGCCATGTAGCAGGCATTTTGACACTTTCCACTTTGGCTATTTAATATGGACGGCTGTGTTACTGCCTTGCTCGAATGACAGCAATCCACCACCATGGGCCCTAGATGCACCCAAGTTTTATTTTTCACGGTTCCCTGGCCAATCTTGATTACCATGTCAAACCCAACTGACTCCCTAAGATGTTCACATACTGGGCTGTGCGCGAACTCAGTTAAGATGTCGTGATGACGCTACCGCGACTGCCATACCAGGTTTGATGGCTTGTCCACAGATCGTATCTCTAATCTTCCCTGACAGAGTGTGTTACACGCGTCCGCAAGACCACCCCAGGCTGATAAATTTGAGCCAGAACTTAGAAGCACGGACCACCTATCGTGCTGTCTGCTTGCTCTGCCTATGAGCTCGCAAAGCCGTCCAATGACATAAAGAAGAAGTCGTTATGTCGGTGAAGATGAAAGCCAGTCGCGCACCCGATCATAAAAACAAAAAATTAGCTGTAGCAAATTCCCTGGCTCTGTTTGGTGGAAGCCTGCCGCGACGATATAAAGCTTTTTCCTATACAGGTCACGAATGGCTGCTCCGTTTTGAATTTTAGCCGATATAGACGGCGTAATCATTGTTCACATAGTCCTAGGGCTATTTCCAAATCCAATACAAGAAAACACGTCAAGAAACCAGTGCTTTGCCTTTGCGCAGACATTATGCAAGCTCAGTGGCAGCCGGTAAAATATGGGTTCCGCACCCATGGCGAACCCCGACTAAGTCTAAACAATTTTCAGCAAAACTACCACCGAATGGGGAACTTTTCAGTGTTCGAATAACTAACAACAGTATGGAATCGTTGTACCAAAGATTCTGTCGTTCAAACAACTGGTTCAGAGAAATTTAGTGTTTGCTTCTAACGATCACGTTTGATGGATTCTGTATCTTGATAGGTCACCAGTCATTCTGAGCTCAATATGATTCTGAAGTGGCACGCGAGCCAATTTTCCGACCAGTTATCGCCCTTTTCTGACATTAGAGAGGTTTTCGTGTGGGTGGCCACCTGCCAAAGCCCAAACTCAGGGTTGCGGGTTAACCCATTGAGGTAGTCGACAAGCTTTCTAACTGGGCAGCCGTACCATTCCCACTGGTCTAGCCGAGCACGATATTTCCATCCGGATTGGGAAGTCTGCAGGGGCCTTCGTGAACGTGTGGAATGTCTCTTGTTGCTTGACCCCTTTCCACTGGAGCATTGTCGCCTTTCGATGCGACCTAATCCCTACTTATGCCCTGTTTGAAGAGGATTTGTCCAGCTAACTCACGGCGGGGACATGTTATGAAGATTTTCAGGCACGGAGAGAGCACCTTTATTAGGAGAAAAGTTTTTCTCATTTCGGGTAGTTCTTGCGTGGAATAACCTTCCTCTGATGGCCGTCCACCATCCATCTAGAACCCAGTCCAAATCACCATTACACACTTATGCGAGTCCTCGCTCACACAAGCTTACTGCAACCCCACGCTGAGAACTTAGAGAGCAGTACTAGACCATGTTTTCGCTAGCGCCTTTCAGGTGAAGGACAAGAGCATAACCGACCCGGGAAACTTGGGCGAAAGCCTCGATCCTGTGTATCAATCCGTGAATCAGTGAGTCCCTGATTTCCCATTGGCCAGTGCATTCTTGTGCTCCGCCTTTGTTTTGTGCAGACGCTCTCGTATGGTGGTCCGATTCTTCTTTTTCTCTCTGCGCTAGTACTGGACGGGATCTTGTCAAAGATGCGAATTTGTACGCTTGTTATCAAGTCGCGTTCAGCGTGAGAACTCATAAAAAACCTCGACTCATTGAACCCATCATAGAAATGGAGATATTATGCCCTCAAACGAATTGCAAACAAAATTGACGGTAATCATGACTATTATCGCAGATAGGGTGCAAACTTATTTGACCATAGAATTGTGTGCATATTAACATGTGTAGCCTAGGTTGGGCGTGCAATCGCCCAAAGGATTGTATAAAATCGAAGAAAAATCCTGAGGTTGTGATGAAAGCATCAGCCTTTAGGTACGGTTCTTGAGGCGTGGGGGATTGCAGGCTTCACTTTACCGCACCTGACGCGGAATTTGAAAGATAAGGAAGGTGCATCCTCCACGCCTTGAAACCCGTAGCATGAAGTTTCTCCCAAGTATGCTGCGGAAGTTCTCCTGTACACAGGAGAATGCCCTTTCGATGCCTTGCTGCAGTGCCACCCGAAGAAAGCTCGAAGGCTAGGATACTGCCAGGTGACCTACGCCTAGACAGGATGAGGAGAACAGGCTTGAAATGCGAACCGGTTTTGCTTCAAAAGAACTCGAGCGATACGCCATGGGCCTCGCTGCATTGAGGGAACTCCGACTGGTTGATCAAGGGAAGTTACCAGGGTCTGACTTTAGCTATTTCTTTTGCATGAATGGAGCAAAACAAGGAAGAGGACATGACCACAGGGTTCTATTCGCAGTCCCATACTACATGCCAAACTACACGAACTCGTCTATGGTGGCTATCCATTTCCGGCTACCGATGTTAAGGTTTACCACCTGCATCAGTGGGCATTCATCTCACAGTGTCACACTCAGATGAGGAAGATAGTAGGTTCTACCATCAGACTTCACACTTTGTTAGATCTGCACCTTCGAGTGACACCGTGCAGTTGGATAATTTCCGTCTTCAGGTTGGTGGACTCGGAAGTCTGGAGGAGAGTACTCAGTTTATCGGGAAGCAGATTAATGAACAACAATAGCTATAGGCTACTCACGGTTTGTGCCGCGTTGGAAGTTTCTATAGCACACATCCTTCAACGCGAGCACGTATCATTTACCACAGTCTTCCAGTCACCTGACCGGACATATCACTGTGCGTTCAAGGAACCTCTGTAATGTACTGATCATAAAAGTAGAGTGGAGCTTAGTGAAATACGTGCTAAATTACTTGTCGGACCTGAAAATCTGCAGTGCTGGGAAGCTCATTTATGTCGGGCTCAAGGAAACTGAAGAACTGACAAACTGCGGCCAAAGTACAGTATGTTCAGTTGAGAGAACAATTTTCAACAATAGCCAGTCGTTCAGGAGATATCTGTTTATATAGCTCAATATCCCCAAGATACAGTGTAGACTTGCTTGGCTGACTTACCTGGATTACATTTGGCCACAGATTAGATACAAAATTTGGAAAGCAGTGAGATTAAGGGACTTCCCCGCGGTGCTGTTAAAGCTGGCGGGAACAACGCTGCAGGACGAACTTCTTCATCTGCCATATGCAATTTTGGGGATGTAAGACGTTACACAAGGTTCTAACGATCCTTTTGTATAAATGAAAACACCGGTGGAACACGGACAACTACCACGGTGTCGATCTATGCAAAGCAAGATGGACTCTGGCTTGTATCCTGTTCAATCAACTGGTCATTGGTATTCGGGCAAAAAACTTTCCGGAAGGTTAATGCGGATTTTGAAGCAGTTGATGTGTTATCCTTGGCTTGGTTTTGGCGCGAAGCAAGATCAGTCGATGTTCCAAGAGAGGGACCAGTCGCCCCGTGGACTTTTTGTGAACATCACTAGAACCTTCGATCGTCTCACGAAAGCATGGTTCCAGACAAGTTCGTCAACCCAACCAGAGCTGCGATATAGGCGGGGTGTGGACCTAGGCGAACCTGTGCGTTCGAAATTGATACAGGGCTGAGATGGGGTGTTTTTGCCCAGTCTTTACTGTATAACCGTCTGTCCAAAGGTGCCTCATTGTTGCGCAGATGGTATTCTAATTCATTAGCACTTGTTTGATTTTTTATTTACTCCGAAGCGTCTCCTGGCCAAACCACAGCGGCGTGAGTCCAATGTCCGCATGCTGCGGCCTGCGGACGATTGCACTTTATTTTCATATTCTGAGGTGGAATTACAGAGATCGGCTATGGCTTTCGCTGAACCGTAAGTATTTCCAAGACATTATTCTTTTATTGACTGTCCCGACAAGCGGTTGTGAGATAATGTAGTGCGCGTATTTCTGCTGTCTTGGCACCACCTTATCCACAGACGCTCGATAAAAAATAGACGTAACAATTTCAAGGGCCAGCATGGCACTTTCCATGACGAAAAATGCTTCTGTAGCAATAGTCACAGATACCAAGAAAGTTGGATATCAGGTTGTTATGCCATACTTGGTTTAAGGCAACGAGATCTAGACGCTATGCGAATGAAGTGCTCGGGTTCGCGATCTGTTTCGCTTGTAGTGTCTGCACAGAACCCTTCGACGCACCCAATCCAGACCGCCAAAGTCCATCGGAGTGAATATTGTCGGAGTTAGATGCATTAGCCCAGCTGGTTATGTCACTTGAAACGAATGGTCCAAACTCTCATCCCAAGACACATTGACATTGGGCCGCTGAAGATTTGAGTCTGAAATCGTGGACTTGCGAAACATTGATCGGACCTTTGTCCGGAAGCAAGTGTGCTCCGGTTGAAACCAGCCATATACGTGCCATTGTGGCTACTTATTTGGTGCTACGTCCGTTGTGTTCAGTAATTAACAACCCTCATGATCAATGTTCACAACTCATCTGATGACGCAACATTTGTTTCAGATACCAACGCCGAGCCTAGCTTTCAATGTCGTGAGATGTGGCTGCCGCTTTGTTCGAAAATTTTCCTCCACACTGCAGTCCGAACAGCTGGTTCTAGTTGAATCCGCAGATTCCGGTATCCGTGTGTTAACTCTCAACAATGAAAAGCAGGCCAACTGTTTATCACTAGCAATGATACATGAACTTCATTCAGCTATTAAACAAGTGAAGGAAGTGAATGAAATACGTGCTGTGGTCATTCGTGGGGCTGGACGTTTTTTCTGTTGTGGTCACGACTTAGGCGAGTTTGTTGGGGATAACGATTCCAAATTACCGGCTACCGTATTCACCGCATGTGCCAACGTGAGTGCTCTAGTTTTACTTTTTGGTTCTGTGAAGTCGTCATATTTTGTGCTTGCGAGTAATATCGGCAGGAAATAGTAATAATAATAATAATCATTCTGCTGTGACACCCTTTCTGTGCCTGGCTGCTATGTCACCAAAAGGAAGCACGAAGGCTGGTGACTCCCCGGTTATTCCTCCACTTTTGCTTGCGTCTATATAGTTAGCTTAGTTTTACATTGTAGTTAATAACTGTCAACATGGTTGGTCATTTGAAGATTGGCTAGTACGTTGTCGTCTGATTATCTTACGCCTAGTTGATTCGTTGTGAACCACCGTATCAGCGAAATACACTCATGTGCGGGCGAATTTGGTTTTGCGAGAGGCCCACCTGGAACCCAACTGAATATCGTTTTTAAATTTTTCCAGGCAACCGAATATGCTGCACCAGGCCGCTTCATGTTTTAGTTGGTACAGTATTCGAGGATTGCGATACATGCATATACATAGTGCACCACTCATAGGATTGCTGAAAATTCTTCGACAGCCCATGACCGGTTTTGCCCTTCTTGGGGCTCATCAGGTTGGCTCAGTCCCCGAGTTTCCGTCAACCTTATGTTCTACTTGAGACCAATTTGCACGAAGTTAGCGAAAAACACTCATTTGCAAACGCACTTATGTTCTTTATTTCGATCGTTCCTTCTTGCCTTTCTTGTGCGTTGCGTTTCTGCCAGTGTTCCTGTTACTTGAGTAGTCGACCAAACACATATTTTTAGTAGACCCCATTACTGTTGCCTTACTATCCACCAGACGGCACGAATACCGAATTGCCACTAGACGACTTGATCACCTATACTTATGTGCGAAGATTGGGAACGGTAAATTCAGCCGAGACAATTTTCATATGCCAGCCCAATCATGAAATAAGAACGAACGTGAATTTATGGAGGCGTGATACTCAACTGAGAAAGCTATCAACGGGAATATTTAAACCGATTTAATCCATTGACCTGTCAAGAACAAAGAACTTCGGAGCATCCGAGCTAAAAAGTGCACAAGATGCCAGAGAAGTGGCCTTTAGAGGCCATCGAGAGTGTACAAAATTTTGAGTGAAATCAAGGCTAATGAAACGCATTCTCAAGCCGAAAATTACTCAGTAAGTTAGAAGATCTAACAGATGGACAAGCAAAAATCGCGCCGTACAAAAGGGTACCTTATGAACCTGTCATAAGCCGAAACACAACCAAAATAATAAATAGACTAATCGAATAGACAAAATAAACTACCAAAATAGATGCCTGATCGACCAGTCTCAAGAAGAATTTATCGTTATGCTCACTGATGAGTCTGTTCATTTTCACACAGGTTTTGTGGAATCTGACTTCCCGTTGCATATTTCTGTAGCCATAACTTGTCCGTCGCTTGCAGATGATGATCGATTTAGCCAACTTGCCAGTACCTTCTATCGCATCCGTGGGTGGTATTGCCTACGGTACTGGCTGTCAGCTTGTCGCCACCTGTGATATGGCTGTTGCCGGACAGTCTGCGAAATTTGTTGCTGCTCCGATAAGACTTGGCCTCTTCGGCAGCACTCCAGGTGTTGCACTTGTTCGTGCGATAGGAATGAGGGCGACCAAAGAACTTTTATTCACTGGTGAGTCAGACTTAATCCAGACCCTCGAAGCAGGAATTTGGATTTGATCTCCGTTTTGCGTCTTTTTGTTCAGTTTCAAGGGGTGGTAATCCTACCGCGAATATAGCATACCTATGGCCGTCCGATGATGTCAACATCGAGGTTTGCAACTTAGCCTAAATCAACGAAGCAGTCAAAAGTTGCTTCACTCTTTTTGGGGCTCGTCAGAAGTGCATGTACTGAGGTTAGATCCTGGAATCATGGTTTCGTTTTTCCTGGAAATGCACGTTTGACCCAACAAACTACCATGAAACGTCCGGAGGTGCGCAGTAAGACATTCCACTCTGTGAACTTTATGTCTGCTCCTTCGGTTGGCATGCTTCTTGTCGCGCAGTTGGGACAGCTTTTTACAATATAACTCCGCAGAGCCCGTGAATTTGGCATAAAACATTCTTGACCGGCCTGTAATAATAATAATAATTGTCCAGCTGTAGCACCCCTTCAGTGCCTAACTTCCATACCAATGTAAGGGTTGTGATAATGCTAGGTTGCCCAAGCCTATACAGTAGCAGTCGAGGTGCTGAGCTTGGGTTCGAACCACGGACTTTCTGGTTCGTACGCTGGCGCCTGAACCACTGAGCTACCTCTAACGCGCTGAGATTGGAGTTAAGACAACAAACATTATTATCGATGAATGGAAGGTGCGAAATTTTCTCCGTGTTATTCAGCCAGACCAAGGTTTCTGTTGCAAAAATATGCAGCTAAAGCTGTCCTGCGCTATATATATATATATCTATATATATATATATATAAATTCAAATCTCGGTTCGAGTTTAGGGCGGCGCGGCAATATTTTTTTCGGTCCCCACCAGTCCCAATGATAGGCCATCCATCTCACTACTGAAACCTTAATGTAACCCAAACTATAGGGAGCATCACGGCACGACGACAGGATAGTCCCCCAAGAATGACAACTTCCGGGTTCGTATCTTTGGTGGTTTGACCGAAAGTATAGGGAATAGTTGTGTTTGCTAGGGGCATTTCTTAGAGCTCAGTGTCGTATACTATAGTTAACTTTTGTTGTTTTGTTGCACACTTGCAAACTTGAAGTGCCTTCGTTTAGAATGGGACACAATATTCAGGAGTGACAGGCGGGGTTTTACTGGCCTTTTGTGAACAACCTTGCGGTGGCACTTACCTGCATACTGGGGCTGATACTTTGCATCCATAAGGTGCCAGTGACCGCCTTATCAATAACGGCATCCATTCCGAACGTTAGTACTCTACTGTCGTGATAATCATCACTGTGTAGTGGTCAATGACAGAGAAATCAGAGAAATCAGCATTATGAATTGCATGGTCGTTCAAGTATTCAGTTATACGTATATGGGGCGAGACGGCCCAGTTGGTTAGAGCGCGAATTTACTGACCGGAAGGTCCGTGGTTCGAATCCAACCTCCGCCACTCGACTTCCCCTGTCTAGGCTTGGGCAACCTGGCAGTATCCCAGCCCTCCTGCTTCCTTCGGGTGGCATGGCAGCTAGGCACCGGAAGGGTGCTACAGCTGAACGCTTTTTTGTATATAAGAATATATATATATTTTTGATACATCACTCGAGTACAGAGTTGACTGTTTTTCATAAATTGCATAATTCGTTAGTCAGTGCTTCGCCAACATTTCGTTCTCACAGAAACTCCGACGTAGATTGCCTCGTTCTCCGTGCTTCCTATTTCGCCTACTGTAGACAGCTGCCAGTTCAGGCTCTCATTAACTCTCGTACCGTAAGCAATCATAAAAGAAGTTTTCGATCAAATTATCTGATCGGTTGCACATTAGCTTTCACTTTCATTTGCTTCAATTCAAGTTTTATACGAGTTACTGGCTATATTTTCATTGCCAGGTTGTACCATTGATGCCGACCGAGCTTATGAGCTGAATCTCGTAAATCACGTCGTTTCGGATGACCATTTGTTGGAATACACATTGAACTTGGCCCAAGAAGTAGCGAAAAACAGCAAACCGGTGATGGAAATGGGCAAACGTGCCTTGCATGCTCAGGTGAGGGAAGCCGAGGTTCACCATTACTCATTTGTGGGGTCATTAAGAAAGAATATCTCCTCGGAATTACTTTATGAAACCCATATTCCACACTCACTCACTCACTCACTCACTCACTCACGTGCATCCAGTGGGCTGGCGTTGGTGTCCTGGTTTTTTGACGGATCGCTTGGAGAATAGGTAATGCCAAATGTGGTTCGCACAACCATGTATACAACTGCCTGTTACTCTTTGGTCGATATTATTCCTAAGTAGTAAAATTGGGTGGCGAACGGGAGAGCACCGTTCCATAGCTATCAGCATGTTGAACTAATGGGCCATACTTGTCAATTGAGGTGGGATAGCTAAACAGTCACGGTACGTGACCCAGTGACCCGCACTAATCATATGACGTGTTTGGGGCAGACAATAGCCAGTATGAGCTGAAAAAGGTTCGCTACTGGACTTTTCGTGGATCCGACATTCCGGAACACCATAAGTTGAAGCGGAACGGTTGTAGGCAAAATGGTGGTAAATCTACAGTTGGATCCATTGATGTCCGCTTTGAGTAAACCGACAGCCTGCAATAAAAAACCATTCAGCTGTAGGCCCCTTCCTGTGCCTAACTGCCATGTCACCAGAAGGAAGCACGAGGGCTGGGATACTCCCATGTTTTCCAAGCCCGAGGAAAGTCGATAGATAGGTCGGGTTCGAACCACGGACCTTCCGATCAGCAAATTCGCGCTTCAACCACTGAGCCATCTCGCAATAGTCATAAGCTGAGTCCAGATTACATTCCTATGCACCCTATGGATAGCATTGGCTTGATTGGTTTGCTCTATGCTATGCGTTATTGTTATATCTGACTGCTGTTCCCACTACAGTGACTGGTTCCAGAAAAGAACTCACCGACAAGGAACACAAAGCTTTACTGCAAAAAGCGAGTGTGCGCGAGTGCAAAAGTTACAACGGCCCCGCGCTATTCATAGGACACTTTCTGACATTGATCCAGGCTCTCTGATAGGCGTTTAGTAAACACTCATCAACATCGATCGTACTTTGAAATGCCTAAGCGCTGATCGCATTCGGTAGTGCTTCTGTGGAATGCCTAAACACATGAGGGTTTGCTGAATTGATTGAATGATTGACTGGCCTGAATACTTGCCGGCTTTCCTATTGGTGGAGTTTTAGGGTTTCAGTAGGTTCCGGCCGTTCTGGGGTTACTTTCAGGAATCTGACCTCCCTGCTAGTTAGGTCACCACTGCACCCATTGAAAGGCTACCCAAAGTTTAAACGTAATGGTGTCTGTTTCGCGTTATTCTGCCACTTACGTTCTGGAGATACCCAGCCCAGTTCACGCCCATACGGCCTCCATGTTAGCCATGGTTTGTTCATTTTCGGTCAATATGGCAGTGGGTTTGGAATTTCACTTTCAGCATCATCACTTGGTTTGCTGTCTGGCGCCATTAGAGGGTCAAAAAAGGTATGAAAAGGCTGCTGCATCCACGTATGCCCTTTAGTGTCAATAAGTCAAAAACGGCCTGCGTAAAAGTGGTTGCAGTCGCCACCGATCCAGAGAGTTCTCTGGTGGCATTCAAAGACCTCCAGAAGGCCTATGTTTCTTACACGGCCCCCCGGTTCGAAGATATCGGTCGCTGAATCGACGGATACCAGATCATATCTTCCACTTTGGCGTCTCAGTTTCCTATTTCACAAGACCTATGTCCGTGACTTCCAGACTTTCGACAACCATGTCTAGATATCGTCACTTCTGTCCGTTAGGGTAACATTTGTTATTCATTTGTCCAGGATTCTCTCCTTATACTGGTATACCCAAGTTGTATAATGGTTCTGTCACAGTGCACTTGCCGAAAACTTGTCTAGCACGTTCATTTCAGCTGATACATGGGACCCGCTTCAAGCACACTGCATGCACAAGCTATCCAAGTATCGGAAGTCACGATAACACATGGTTATTGTTTCATTGCCGTGCAACAGGACAAACGAACCCATTGTTTTGTCAACACAGAGGGCTGTTTTTTAATACCCGTTTCTAAAACTTGCCAAAAGGTTCACCAGACTCGACAACACGCAATCTTGATCGACGGTCCACATTCAAACTATAGGGCAGTGTGACGTCAAGGTAGCATTAGTCTGCATAGCATTTCGTGAGATCCATCCGGGTTTTGATGAGCAAATGAATTATGGGGACTCTATATAGCGGACGTCGGTCTTGTGCGTGTTGATGCTCAGACTGTGCAGCATTCAGTCTTCTCCGCTAGTTCATACGTGCTGACAAGCAATGCGTAGTTCTTCACAAACATTACAGTGTGAACTCTGTTCTGGTGGACAAGATCGTGCTGATGTTGAACAAACACCCATTGATCTGATATCTGGCTTACACATCTCTCCCAAAGCCCCTTCTAAAACTCTCATTCGATTATGGGGATGTCGAATAACGTTCGCATGCCTTGGTGAGCAGTCACCTGCGACCAAAAGATATCACCCTGATGTGGTTGTTCGATTTGAGTGCTCTAATGATCCTGCGGGTTATACTGGATGGAACTCTTTTCTACAAGGTATCACTCTACGATTAGGGTTGAAGGAGAACAATTAGAGGAAGAGCGACGATCTCCCTATTATGAAGCGGTCTGGGGGTGAAGTCGTACTTTCCTATACAATCGGATTATAAAAGCGTTAGGTGTTTCCCCAGAGCAACCTCCATACCCATATTCATGAATACAACGATACTGCCTTTGCCCACTGACTGTTGGGTTAGGAGATGTAGGCTCCAAAAAACCTCACGCATCAGTCAACCAATGGTTAACCGTGATTGCCGGCGAATCACCCAACACATTCGAAATACAAAAATCACCAAGTGCCCGATTTGTCCCCAACTGCATCGTCATGTGTAGTAGCATTAAGAGTGGAAAAGCTAAGGCTCACATGCAATGACCCGTGATGTCTATGGTTTGGGTCAGGACTAGATTTCAATAAGTGGTCGTCTTTGGGTTGTGCAGCTGTCTGATTAAGTTGAGATCTTTACGGGTCAGTGCCGTAAAAACGGTTTATTTGTCATATAGGCATACGCCCCGACTGACTGCAGTTTTATCGTGGGCTGTCACGACTGCTTTGGTCATCAAGAAAAATTAATGCTATCATCCTGGCAGATAAGGTGAACGCTCAAGTTGGACGACTAACCCGAATCAAACACATTCAGATGGTAGATTCGAAGTAGGTGCTCAGCGTCTTCTGGACAATCGAGAGCGACCTCTTCATTCGTGTGCTCACACTCATTTGTTCCTGGCAGGAACGAATGTCCAATACCCACTCACACTTAGTAACTTGGAGGCCACGATCCATTCATGGAGTCAGATTATGTCGCCGTTAGTTGCAGATGGAGAGCATCAACTGTAAATTGTTGTTTACAGCTTGACTCCGATCACGGCATTGTGCGGGCTTGGTTGCTACGGTGCCAGTACATAGACTCACCTGGCTTATGCGGCCATTAGTCACCGATGGAGGGCCTCAGTTAAGGCATGTCGTCTCTTCTGGTGTACGCAGCTCGACTTTGATCATGCCGTTGGGCGGGCTCGATTGTCACTCTACATTCCGCTTGGCGAATTGACGCCGTTACCTCATCAACTTCGGCGAGTTTGAGTAGCTCAGCACTATTGAGCTGATCTAGCTGGAAAGCTACCGGAAGCATATAGTCACGCTGATAACGAAAACTGGTTAAAGATATAATGAAATTAATTGGAAGAAACTATACTATCCAAGCCTTTCAACTCGATCGAATGAACTTTGGATATCGTCGGATTAGCAGATGTAATTGTTGCCGGAAATGCGGTGCCAGCAATTAATGACCACGATGGGGCGCGTAAACCCCTCAAACGCTTGGTGATGAAGCGCTTGAAGAATGGTGGAGAACGCCGTTGGACTGCAAGGGATGGACAAAACATTCGCTGCAGGTAACAACCGTGCTCCGGTTCTACTGGTTGGACCAACCAGACGAAGGGAGACAGATTTCAGCAAAACTATATACGAAAAAGACAAGAGCAATTCCTTTCCAAAGCCGTTTTCTTGAGCAGTGGGATGAACACTGTAAAGAGCGGCTCAACTGGCCTTCAGCGAAACTTCTGGAAGAATAAAACAGGTCCGAATAGAATATGGGTATCATCCCACCGTCAACAACAGGAATCCAACGTGACAAGGCACCCGGCCCGATTGGTCTGCACCTCACGTTTTTAAAAAAATTTGGTAGAGACCTGGTGATCAGTCTGGCGACCCTACTGCAGAATGGAGCGGAGTGGAATGGAGTGCCTCCACCGTGATTCCAGTTCTCAGTGAATGTCAGAATGTCATCCAAAAGCCATCGTGACATCACCGGTAGCCGTAGCATCTAAGATGCCCTCTGGCCTTATTTTGTGCAGCTTGATAGATTATCAACAGAAGGAAGCGCGTGAGAATCAAGCTGCGTTTCACCCTGGCCGAAGGCAATCGGCCATACCTTGAGACAGCGTCGCAGTCAAATGGTTTCATTGCAAATTTATATCCATTATATAAGGGCACTGCATGTGAATTACTTTGGGTTTCGAGAGCGAAGAGTTTAGGAATTGCTTGCAGACGCTGGGTATCAGACGGCTAAGGACTGCACCATACCACCCTCAAACAAATGGCTGAACTGAACGATCAAGGAGTGGCTGGTGGCCAAACGAGGTGACTGGGAAATGAACTTGCCAATGTTGTTAACTCATCGTGTTTCCACACAGTCAACCACAGGCAAGCCCCCGTTTATGCTGATGTACGGTCGACATCCGCGCCTTCCGGTTGATCAGGAAATTGGGTTGTGGCAACACGCTTGTCTCCGGAGGAGCTGGAGGAAGAAAGAAGGAGAGCTCGAGAAAATTTGACCGCCGTTCAGGAAAGGACTAAACAGAAAACGGCAAGTAGAAAGGTCCGAACGTTCCCCATAGGCACGAAGGTCAAGTGGAAGGATCACCAGAATCCTGGAAGGAGTG